TTTTTGAGGGAAACTTTAAAAAACATTCTGACCATAGGTGATGGTGTGTCTGATAGGAAGCAAAAGAGGTGTGGTACAGCGGTGTCCAGGTGGGACTAACACTTAGTAAGGCGTGCGAAGGAGACAGTGGCCAGAAAGAGGAGCTGTGCACCTTTCCTGAAGGGAGGTCAGGAAGGTTTCCCCTCACCAGGAAGTTGCTAGTAGGGAAGGATTGCACCAAGAGCTTAAACCGTGGATTCAGTCCCATAAGGAACATGGGTCTTGGGGGAGTCAGCTATTGGCTGAGGAAATGGGACAGTAGGACATCAGATGTTGCGTTGGTTCGGGACACTTGCGTAGCCTTAGACTCATTGTGGACCGTCATTTGGACATCTTCTGGAGCTAACACCTGGCCTTTCCTCGCAGAGAGCTCTGAGGGAGATGTGATCATTACTTCACACCATTAAGTGATTATCAAAAAAGCAGTAAATTCATCAGCAAAACTAAGGAAGGGATTGAGCAAGAGTGAGGGTAGTAATGAAGTTTAATTTGAGCTTGGCTATTAAAGAAGAGGCCTGTTGTAACTACCAATCTGGCTAGGTTAGAGTGTTGCAGGGATCAAGTGAAACCATTCTCCCTGCTGAGGAGGCAGACGTGAAGCTGAGAGACATGGAGTGGTGGTAAAAGATCCGTCCCCCTGGTCATCTAACTTCTGCTTATGTCTCAGTTGGATCATTGTAAGTCAGCTATTGGCATGTGTTTGGATTGACAGAGACTTGGAAATAAAGAATCCAAAACGACTCCGTCTTAAATGAAGACTGGACTGACAAATATATCCATCCAGAAGTTGGGAGATGGCATTTGGAGACTGGGATGCGGGATTAGAGGAAAGAATGAATGTTCATAGCTGATGTAGTAGATGATCTTACAACTGATTTGGATTTCATTACATGTAATAACAGTATAAACAACATCGGGGATTGTAACTTCAGCCTGCAGAAAAATCATCTTAGCAATAGTGGAATGAATGGTTTGGGAACAATCAATGTGTAACAAACAAGTCATTCTGCCCTCTGAGTGCAAGTGCTGTGGAACAGCTGTGGTCAGGTTCAACTTTCCAGCAGAGAAAGCTGGAAAAGACTGGGACAGTTGTAAGGCATCAACTCACATGTGATGCTGACTAAATGCAGATGGCCTCAGCAGTTCCTGTCTTCAGTTTAGTGCTTTGCCTCTCTCTCAAAGGCGGCTGCTGCTGCAGCGGTGCTGCCTGAGCGATGTATGAAATATGTGTGTTTACGTTTATGAGCCAAACTGTAAAAATGTGTTTGGGAGCAGAGTCGCATAAGCCAACACTTGTAGCTGCTAAAATTCTTGTGGCTGGGAAGTACGAGTGGAGCATTCCTTGTTTGCTGGATGCAGCTGAGGAGCAGTAAGTAGTAAAAATTACTGGTTTTGTTTACTCAGGCTTATTTTGATTATTTGATTTTTGTTTATTTGGGCTTTCCATATTGAAAACCTGTTAAATTGGATCAGGTAGTAAAAACATTTCAGTAATTGCCAGAGTGTGATTTAGCATGGGGAAATGGCAGGGGGAGGTTCATGACCATTCCTGTCCTTTGCCTACTTAGGAAGACTTGAATCGAACAAGTGCTGTGAGGAGCGGCTGAGGGAACTGGGGGTGTTCAGCCTGAAGAAAAGGAGGCTCCGGGGAGACCTCATTGCTCTCTACAGCTACCTGAAAGGAGGTTGCAGAGAGGTGGGTGCTGGTCTCTTCTCCCAAGTGACGGGTGATAGGACAAGAGAAAACGGCCTCAAGTTGTGCCAGAGAAGGTTTAGTTTGGATATTAGGAAAAACTTCTTCACTGAAAGAGTGGTCAGGCACTGGAACAGGCTGCCCAGGGAAGTGGTGGAGTCAGCATCCCTGAAGGTGTTCAAGGAACGTGTAAACGTGGCGCTTGAGGACATGGTCTAGTGGATGTGGTGGTTGATGGTCGGACTAGGTGATCGTAAGATGGTCTTTTCCAACCGTAGTGATTCTGTGATTAGGCACAGATGCCATTGCTGGCAATTTTGGGGCATTACTGACAAAATTACGTGGAGCAAAGGTTAGTTTCTTAGTCTGAGTCATTGTAGAGAAGGGAAAAAACCATCAATATAGAAGAGCTAGAAGGAGTTAAAGTTATAGACTGTTTGGAGGAATTTTGGGATTAGTTCTGGGTCTAGACTCTGACATCTTGACACCAGCTTGGCAAACACTTGCAACTACTGCTGTGGTGTGATTTTGCAATTTGCAGAGGCCTGGATGGGAGTATGTTAGTTCTGTTGCCACACACACAGAAGAGCCTTGTCGGAAGGCTGATTGCAAACATTAGGGATCTGCTTCTTCACTGTATGAGAAACCTGTGGTCGTTTTGTCCCCTGATGTTGCAGAAGTACAAGTGTTAGTGGATAAAGGAGTAGGGACAGTCGGCGTAGTCTTGCAGGAGTGGACTACAGAGCTGAATGCTTCTCAGACAGTGAATATTCATAGTGGGCTGTTAGGTAATTGGAAAATCATCTGGCAGGGTTAGTCTCCAGAAAACATAGCATCTCCACACCATCCCTGTGGTGAAAGGAATTTCTGAGTGAAATACTCCTCTGATGGTGAGAGGACCTGATGGGTGATGGATTCAGGTAGTTGCTGGTTATAGCAGGTATCCAATACCCTTTCAGTACGGCGTGATGACCATATGGATGATGACCTGCCCACGGCAGGGGAGTTGGAACTAGATGATCTTTAAGGTCCCTTCCAACCCAAACCATTCTGTGATTCTATGATTCTATATGGCTGCTGTGCTCTTTGCAAAAGCCTTGGGTGAAGGAAAGGAGGGTGTTTATGCATATAATCAGAATACAGCAGGAACCATCATCAGCATTTAAGTTCCAGGCACTGATGTGTTGCAAAAGACAGTCACGAGAGCTAAACTGTTGTGCAGCGTGCGAGAGCATTCATCGGCATCTGCGTGGTCCTTGTGTGAGCCAGAAAGCAGCTGTGAACTGTTTCATGGACAAGTTTGAGGTTTGCTCACTAAAATGTCAAGAGGCTTTGACTGTAGTGTAGTTTCGGGTTAATGATCCTTTAACCTGATGGCTGAAATGGGATTCTAGGAAGAGGAATGTGAGCAGCACGGTGATTTCATGACTTCACTGATCGGCAGTTGACAGAAAACATCAGGTAGCTGAGCACATATACTGGGGTTTAAATAGAGACTCAACGTGATGGTTAAGTCGAGCTCCTGGCAAGGCACAGAGGAAATTCTAGAAACCCCACAATGCAGAATAGAGGGAGAAAAATGTGTCCTTTTGTAAGATCAAATTTAACTTGATGTCTGGTAAATGAGCAGATGGTCTTGGATGATCAGTTGTACATTTGAAAGCAAATGTTTACAAGAAGCTGTCTGCTCTGGTTCCGCTGTCCCACAAGGATGGAAAGCCTGCTAAATCTAGTGGATGTAGTAGTTCTGTTTTGGTACGTTCACTCTTCAGAAATTGTACATTGTACTGCTAACCTGTCAGGAAAAGTTATTTTGGAAAAAAAACCTGACAGTTTGTACATTTTTACAGCCAGTGAAAATTCTGCATTGTCTAAAAAAGACATTGTTCCTTGAGCAGTGGGTCACTGAAGCCTGGTTTCTGGAGGCATCTGTTGTCTCCAACTCCTTATGAGGATCTGTTCCATGATCTTCCCAGGCACAGAGGTGAGGCTGACAGTTAGGTAGTTCCCAGGGTCCTCATTTCTACCCTTTTTAGAAGTGCATGCAGTGTTTCCCTTTTTCCAGTCACTAGGGGATTCACTAGACTGCCATGACTTTTTAAATATCATGGAGAGTGGCTTGGCAGCTACATTAGCCAATTCCCCCAGGACTCTGGGATACATCTTGTCAGATCCCATGGACTTAGGTATGTTTGGGTTCCTCAGGTGGTCACGAACCTGATCTTCTCTTACTGTGGGAGGGGCTTTGCTTTTCCAGTCCCTTGCGGTCCACCACCGAGAGGTGTGGGAGGAGAGGTTGCCAGGGAAGACTGAGGCAAAAAAGTTGTTGCGTACCCAGCATTGTCCTCATCCGTTGTTACCAGTTTGCCAGTCTGGCTCATGAGGGTGGGTATGCTTTCTTTGACCTTTCTTTTCTGGCTGCCATACCTGTAGAAGCTCTTCTTACTATTCTTTGCATTCCTTGCCAAGTTCAGCTCCAAATGCACCTTGGCCTTCCTGACCCCATCCCTATACAACCAGGCAGCATCCTTATACTCTTCCCTGGATACCTATCCCTGCTTGCACTGCCTGTGCACTTCCTTCTTGCCCTTTGGTCTTGACTCATCCATGCCGGTCTCCTGCCTTCATTTCCTGACTTCTTACACCTGGGGATCGACAGCTCTTGCACTCCACCAGAAGTGTCCTTAGAGATCTGCCAGCTCTGTTCTGATCCCTTGTCCCCGAGGGCAGTTTCTCAGGGCGTCCTATTGACTAACTCCATGAATATCTGGGAGTTTGCTTTAAGTGGAAGCAACAAAGAAAAAAAATCACATCCCTCAGTTCCAGTTCCACAGTTTTTCCTCATCATATGGAGAGCAGTGCAGGGTGTTAATGTTACTGGTAGTCTTACCTGGCTTTGCATTTCTATGTCTTCATCCAAGGAGAAAAAACCTTAAACAGACACTTAGCTTTAAGGATATGAATAGCTGAAACTCGGAAAAAAGGAAACATGGTGAAACTAACGGAGGGTTACAATAATCCTGACAATTTTATACGAAGATGTATTCTGTTTTCCCATTGCTTTTCCTGCTTATGTTGATCTGCTTTGCTTGAAGTAGCCACTTGGCATGCTCAGGTTTGCAGAAGGCAAAAGTTTTGGGAACTCTGTGTGGGGGTTTGCTTTGGTTACTGGCTCAGGGTTTAGTCTTATTTAAAAAAAAAAAAAAGACGCTGAAAGAAGTTGAGTATTTGCTGATGTGTTTCCTGCCTCCCATTCACTGTGTTTCAGAAAATCTTCAGAAGAACTGGACATGGATAAAGTAACCGCAGCCATGGTACTCACCAGTTTATCCACCAGCCCTTTGGTCCGCAGCCCTCCTGTCCGACCCAACGGTAAGCCTCCACGGCAGCGTGTGGGCAGGGGCCGCAGGGAGGGGTGCCGGGGGTATGTGGGGGCTCGGTTCCAGGAGTTGGGACCGTGGTGGAGGACAGAGGGCGAGTGGCTGCCTTCTGGCAGTGGCCCATGTGTGCTGGGAGGATCACGCTGAGTGAGCTTTGCTCCAGCGTAGTCGAGGGTTTTGGTGCAGCGTTGGTAGAGGTGAGAACAAACCTTTTCCGTTACCATACAGCGGCTTCAGTTTATGAAACGGGAGATGCCCCATTTCACAGGCGGGAGATGAGCACTGCAGAATGTCTCCTGACCTCACTGAAACGCTGATTTTCCAACCAGCTTATCAGCATTTGCACATACACAGTAAAAATGACAGCAGTTGTTCTTGTCCCCATACCATGGAAATCAGATCGGATTTTGCTCGACACTACGATGATTCTGAGCACTTCCCAGGTCACAGCCCTCGGCTGAGAGGTCTGCACAGCGACAGGTCTGTTTCTGCCGATGCAGGATTAGACCCTCAATTCCTGTGCCTGTTGTAACTCGGGTGGTCTGCCATCTAATCCATAATCCCTTAACACTCCCTACTCCATTCGTGGTATAGCAGAAGACACACAAATAAAAATAAATCTAAAAAGTTAGCAGTAATAATGACATTGCTAATGAAATATAAGTAATCTATGCAAGCTTGACTGGGGTCACGAGAAATTTTTAAAAGTGTTATACTTTAAGGAATGATTTAAATTAGGACACCATTATTAGGATGTCTCAGCGTTGTTGCTATGACTGGGTTTTCTTACTCATAATTGTTAAATTGATACTAAATGCCCTTCTACTGCAAATAAATGGAGTACTTTGAGGAATACTGACCGATTACAAATTAATAGGGAAATAGTCTTTGGAGTTCTTTATGGAAGCAGGAGAAATCCACTGAATGATGTTGTACTTAAAAGGAATCTGTACTATGAGGAATGCCCCAGCTTTCAAGATTTTTGGAAAAAATAGTGTGGGCGGTTTTATTTCTTTCCAGAAAATCTGAGTTTTATCCATTTACATGTAAGTCTAGCCGTGAACAACCATGGCTTCTGTCTTTGTTGCTTTCCACACGCTTACCAAATGTTAAAACCAGAAGTATTTTTGGAGTATCACTGCTCTGAGTAGCCCGGGGAAACCTCTGGTGGTGGCATCCCCAGTGACCGTCCCACCTTAGGGCTGGAGATTACCAGCCCCCAGGGAAGGCCCGTGGAAGGGCAAAAACATACCTGCTCTCCAGCTGCTTCAGCTCACAGCCGAAAACACCGATGAAGGTGCCTGTGCTGATGTGCCAGGCAGAGATTTGGAGTGGCTGAGGCACACGTCTGTCCCATGTTGCATCCCTGCTCGTGGGGAGCTGCTCCCATGTGGGGCAGGGCAGTGTCTGCCAACTTGAACAGCTTAAGCAGATGACAGTTGTGAGGACCGGAAGTGCACACCACCTAGCAGCTGTCAGCCGGAAAGATCTTCCAAACAGATCCTTTTGAATTGCTGATGGATAAATGGTGCCTGTTAACTGCCTTTGATATTTCTTCCTGCAGCCTGAGTGCTCTTTGATATTTCTTCACATAGCCTGTCTGCTTGTTTCCCAAAATCTGGGAAGACAAGCCTGAAGAAGTAATTCAGGTGCTTTCAGTAGTCACAGACGACATTTCAAAGCTGTTGTTGGGAACCTCCCTGAATATCTTAGCTTTGCCTGAGTGAAAACTCACTAAAGATTTCAATAAAAGCGTAAAGATTTGATAATTTAAAAGCTCAGTTGGTCTTGTAAGGCTGGGCTCTGGTCTTAGTAATACAAGCCACAGATGTACTAATGTTGAATTTTTCTACATCCTTTTCCAAAAAAGGGCAGTAAGTAGCAGTGCAATTAAAGGAACATTTGTTTAAACAAATGGAATTTTGCCTAGAAGTAAAAGAAAAAACCCATTATCGCTAATTAAAGTCTCATCTGTGCTGGAATTACTGGGAAGGATCACCCACGTAAACTGGATCAGGGTTTGGCCCTTGTTCCCCTGCAGCTGAGTAATATTTGGTCTGGTTGTCCTTCACGCAACTCCAGCAGCGTGAAAAGAGCCCCAAATTAAGAGTAAGTTGCATTTACTTACATTTTAAAATTCTTTACCCTGACAGATTTGTTAGTATTAATGAGAACCAGTGTTTGTCTTTTCCCTGTTGTCAGCCTCATTCAGTCTTTTCCATACTACTTTAAAAATGTTCTTGATTTAAATCTCTTTCTCAGCAAGGTGAGGAGAAGCTGTAAACCCTGAGAATACAAAGTACCACCGTAAATGTGTCAGAAAGGAGTAGTTAAGAGTGCTGTTTCCTTTGTTTTTCTGAAGAAATGGAAATTTTAAGCTATGCTAAGGTCGCAAGTTGATACCAGATGTATTTCTTGGCTCTGGCACGAGACTCAAGTACAAATACTTGAAAGAAAAACCACTTCCATCACAGTCACATGAAGGCTGTAACTATGAACTAAAACACGACATTTTCATGTGTTAACTTATTAGCCACCGGAAATGTATATGTCCTTTTCCAAAGAGGAATTGGGGGGGGGACACACATGACAAGGGTTTCTCTCATTTGTGGTCTGTGGCCCTGATCAGTAAGTGTGGGGACTTGGCTGCTGCCATGCAAAGGGTTATTTTTATGCATGTGTTTACGTGATGGAGCACTGCATTCTGTTTTGTGAGCAGCTGAAGTTAATGATTCAGGGTTTCGTCCAAAACCAACTGAATTAGGAGAAAAAAAAAAAAGAATCTTTTGGTTTTGGGTTAAGCTGTTGGTAGCAGGTGGTAGACAGTGCTTTCTCGCTGATGTCATTAGTTAAATTTATCTGTAAGAAATGGAGAAGGAATGAAGGAGTGACTTCTGCAGAACTCCTAAAGGCAGGTGCTGGCTTGAAAAGACTCCTGTCTCACACCTAAATAACGTTTCGCGAACAGATAAGATGTTGTTTGCTTGCCAGCTCCGAAGTTGGGTTATTGCACAATACTCGGGCACCTACGGTGTCACTGGGAAAAGCATCCAGTGCCTGAGTTAGGGAGAAACTGCACCTAAACTATCCAGGCAGGGTGACATGCCGATGCCTAACGCCTGTGGGCCTCAGCACGTGAAGCGTGGCTCACGCCGTGCCTCGGACTGCAAAGGCCCTGCTGTTACTCCCCCCACCGTGTTGTGGAGTAACCTGGTAGTCTGAGCGTCTGCTTACCGCCTAATGTCAGGGGAAGTGCTGCAGTGAGGAGGGAGTTCCTCCGGCGAGTAGCCGTGGAGGTCATCCAGCGTCCGTGCGTCCCGCTTCTGAAACTAGGTGCCACGATACACGTGCCTGAAGAAAAAGGGACATCCTTCCAAGGAGACGTTCCACCTCAATTAGACATTCAAATTAGGCAGAGCTGTGTACACTGGGAGATTATGAGAAGGCAATTAGAGTGTAATTGTGGTTTTCTTTGGTGTTCTAGTACTGGGATGATGATCATGTTTGTCCTGGAGCTCAGAGAGTGTGTCCCTTCCCAGGGGGTCTGCTGTTGGCCCTGCGGTGGCCTGGAGCTTGCTGTGACGCCCCACCGCAGCCGTGCCCTCCTCTTGAAAGCTGAGGATGTATTTGAATGTTTTCCCCTAATCTCGCCTGCAATATCTGACTGCTTATTGTGGCTTATGCTCTAAACCAGGTTATTTTTCCAGACCCAGCATTTATTTTTAGAAAAACACTTGTTTTTTAAAAATACCTGAAAAATAAAGTGTGGAATGTGGAATTTGTGTGCAGTGGGATAGATGTGGTTGTCCTCTCTACATCCAGCACTTTCGCTTCCCTTTGTTGAACGTACAGGTAATCACCACTGGGGCGTCTAAGCCTTAGATGGAAGAGCTGCTCAGCCCAAACACATGGTACTGTGGTCATGATGGCTCTTGTTGTTCTTGACAGAATCCCTAAACGGATCTTGGAAAGAAGGAGGATTTGTGCCTTCTAGTACCAGCAGCAGTGGATACTGGAGCTGGAATGCTCCCAGCGACCAGTCCAACCCATCCACCCCATCTCCACCTCTGTCAGCTGATAGCTTCAAAGCTTTTCGGACACCTTCCCAGCCAGATGATGGTATTGATGAAGCTGAAACAAGCAACCTTCTCTTTGATGAACCCATTCCAAGGAAGAGAAAGGTTAGCCTCGCTTTAAATTCCGTACCCAGGGGCAGATAACATGTTGGTAGACTTTCTTTGCTGTGAAAAAGGAACAGGTCACCCACACAGCTCTGTGTGTGTATCCCTCCTTGACATACAATTAACATAGGTACTTAGCCTAGTCACTGTGTCTCATTCAGCCTAGTCACCTACCGCGCACGCATGCTGCCGTCAACACCACATATTTGCTGGCAGATGGTAAGGTTCTACAGAGCCTCCTGCTCAGAAAACACTAGAGTGGTTTCCAGAAGGTGTTGCCTCTGGCCATTCAAGGGATTTCTGTCCTACTTTGGCGAATTCTTTGTATGCAAGATGCAACAGGCAGCCTTTACGTGTCATCACAAAAACTGGATATGGCCTTAATAGTTCTTGTTCCCTAGAAGTGCTGTTTGTCTGACAGCGTGTCAGATACCTTAATACTGTGAAGCTTTCTCTGTGCAAACATATGGAGTGAAAAGAGAAGAGAGAGATCAGACCTGATGGATTTTGATACAGTATTAGCAGTGGCCAAATTTATTCTTGGTAGGACTGCAAAAGCACACTAAATAAAACACAGTATTAAAAAAAAAAAAAAAAGTCCAAAACTAACCCCAAAAAAGCACTGTTATACTAGCAAGCAAGCTCCTCTCAAAGAAAAAGAAAACAAAGAGATGGCACTACTCCAGGTTTCCTTCCCACCCAACACAACAGGACAGATTTTACATAGCAAGATGAAAAAGGGCTTTTTGTAAGAAGGAGAAAAACCAGAATTTATTCTCCGTAGTGACTTTTGTTTCTGGCTCAGTCTGAGACAGTTAATTGCTTCATCACCAGCAGGAAGAAGTTTTAATGATTGTTTACACCTGTTCAGATTTATCCTTTGGCTCCAGAAGTTGCTTATTTGCTGTCCCACACTGTTCTGCCCTTGTCTGCGGGAGAGGGGTGCTTCTTGCTAAAATGGAAAACAAAACGTTTTGGAGGACACCTTTGTTATAATAAAGTGGAAGTTAGAGCTGACTGTTAAACTAAAGACATGATTTTGGAGGGTGTGAGACAGGAAATGGGGGAAATTTGCCTCATCCCTGGAAGTGTTCAAGGCCAGGCTGGATGAGGCTTTGAGCAACCTGGTCTAGTGGAAGGGGGGCCC